TTAAGGCCAGGGATATGTGTATTGTATACTTTATTGGTGGTATCACATGACTTAACCAAAAGGGCAAAGCCATTCCCTGCCCTACCTCTGAGGTACCTACGTCAGCATTGCATATCACTTCTCAATATTTGCTGACATGAGAGTGAAAAATGATACTTCCTTAATGTGTTAGTTTACCTTTTTTTACTCTTATTAAGGATGAAAATTCTTAGGTATTTGTATTTGTATGCTTATATTGGCAATATGCATTTCTTCCTCTGTGATTTGCTTTTTTTCTCAGTTTTTTAAAAATAAAATTGACATAAGACGTAATTTGCCTTTTTTATTTCAAAACAAACCTGGTACACATTTAGAACATTGTATGTAATAGGAATGTGTTAGCCAACCAAGTGTTGTTATGGAAGTATATTAAGATCATATTGCTTTTGTGATTTCTTCATCCAAGATTTCTATAAAGAGTTAAGTCTTCAATGTTTTAGAGCAAAATAGATTTTATTGATAATAGATGATTCACATATTATACATGGATCCATAAATTTAATCGTTCATAGCGATTAGTACAATGTGCTCTGAATCAGGATCTAATAAAAAAGACAATTGTTAATGTACACATTTTACAAAGTGTGTCTGAGAACAGAACAAAAATATTAGAGTAGTCCCCCCTTATCTGCGGATGGTTTCATTTTACATGGTTTCTGTTACCCACAGTCAACCACAGTCCAAAAATATTAAATAGGAAATTACAGAAATAAACAATTCATAAGTTTTTAAGTTACGTGCCATTCTGAGTAGCACAATGAAATCTGACCCTATTCTGCTTCATCTCATCCCATCCTGCTCAGGATATGAATCATTTCTTTGTCCAGCACATTTACCCTACTTCATCTCATCACGTAGGCTTTATATCATCTCCATTATCACAAAAAGAAGAGTCCAGTAAAGTAAGATATTTTGAGAGAAAGACCACATTCACATAACTTTTATAATAGTATATTGTTATAATTGTTCTGTTTTATTAGTTGTTAACTTCTCACTGTGCCTAGATTGTAAGTTAAATTTTATCGTAGGTATGTATAGATAGGGGAAAACAGTATATATAGGGCTCAGTACTATCTACAGTTTTAGGCATCCACTGGTGGTCTTGGAAAATACTTCCACAGATAAGGGAAGACTACTGTATGCACTTGTCTTGAATATAGGACTTCTGCAACTCTTACGTAAATTTGTTAACTAAGCAGTGTCTTTTAATTCAGATATTTGATGGAACTATTATTTTACACTAAATTTGTTTTTACATTTGTTCATATTTATCTACTGCTCATTCTCAACAGCTTGTACCTTTGAACTACTGAGCATTGCTCAGCCACTGTGACCTAATGGTAGAAATCACAATGCACATGGTTGCTGAGAGGGCTTAGCAATGGTGCCACCTCTGAAGAACTATGACTGAAGCAAGAAACTTTTCTAATGATGTACATATTTATTTCATATGGATACTGAAAAAAGATAAGGTGTAATGACAGCAGTTTAAAAAACATCCCTGCTATTTGAGAAGGGAGGAGCCACTTAACAGCCCAGCCAAGTTCTCCCCTCTACACGTCAGAGCTTCCTGCCTCTTGGGGGCTCTCTGGCTCTGTGACATAGGCTATAGAACCCTCCCACCACTCTCAAGGAATGTTCTACTTCCTTAAGAAAGCTGGACAGAAACCCCTTCCTAGGGGTTCATTAATGTAGCTAAAACTGGCTGACAGCCTGGACTTTGAAAAGACTTCCCCAAACACAAAGGGAGTGAACACAGGGTCTAGATATCTGACTTATGTTTGGGAAGCCTCTCCTCCTCCCCCAGGGCTCAGGCGCTGTCTTTTGAAAAGTGCTTTCCACTCCCCTTCCTGTAGAGTGAAGAGACATATATAACCCGAGACTGAGGACGAGCTCTAGTGTCAGACCTCCTGGATTCAAATCATAGGTGTAAGTCCGTGGTCCCTCTCTGACCTCAATTGCCTTGTCTATAAAATAAGGATAATAATGGTACCTGTTTTGTAGGGTGGTTATGAGGATTAAAATACAGATGTAATGTTTAACATTGTTCCAGGTAAGCCCTTAATAAATGGCAGCTATGTGTCCTTCAGCTTCCCCTGCTCCTCTTCATCTGGCCCTTCAGCAGTCAGCCATGCTGTCCTAAAACACCATTTTCTGGGAGCAGACAAGGCTACCACCCCTGTCCCGCCTTCTGGTGGCACTCCCTTCACAGCCATCCTTCTGAAAACCTGTCTGTAATACTGGCTACAGTTCCTTTTTCTCTCCTCATTGACTCTACATTCAGCTTCCAGCACTCCATTAAAACTGTATTCTTGGGGAGATCCCAAAGAGCCTGCCCAAAGCAGTGCTTGTGATTCCCTCCCCATGTTCTTTCAGCGGTGTCAGACACAGCCAGGCCTCTCTTCTGTTCCTCAGTGACATAGTTCTTTGAGCATCTCCTGCCCCCTTCTGTCTGCAGTTCCTCCTCCTCTGTGTGTTGGCAGTCCTCAGGGCACAGACCCAAGCCCTCTCCTCCCCATTCAGAACTTTCTCTCTCAGAGTTTTCATCCATTCTTCTGCCATTCCATGCACCTGACAGCTCCCTAATGTGTATCTTTAGCCCAGACCTCACCCCAGAACTTCCAACTTAGATAATCGAGGACCTATTTCATATCCCTGTTGGACCGTGCCTTCATATACTAAATTCACACACCTCAAATTGAGCTCCTAGTTAATCCTTTATAGATTTCATCTTCTTTCCATCTGAGTAAATAGTTTGTCCATCCATCTCATTGCTCAAGAAACCTGGGATAGCCTTTATTCCTACCTCATCATCAAATTAGCCCCTCTCATCAAATTCATTGCCAGTTTCTCTTGATAGTATTGCTAAAATACATACTCCTGCACTGCCACCCAGGTCCCAGCCACTTCCAGCTCCCCCAGACTCCTGGTTTCCCTGCACCCACTCTAGTCCCTGCACTCAGTTCTCCATACTGAAGTCAGAGTGATCTTTGAAATGTAAATTGCCTCCTGGCACTTCTCTGTTTAAAATCCTTGGGCCAGAATAATCACAGAATAAAATCCCTTGGCCTGTGGTACTGGACAGCCTCATCACAAGTCACCTCCCCTTTGCTTTCTGGGGCTTTTCTGATCTAGCTCTTCCGTTTCTCAGGGCCATCTAGCCTTATCCTCTGCTAGAATGCTCATCTCATTACTTTTCACTGAGCTAATCCCTGACCACCTGATCTAAATTAGGCCCCTCCTGTTATTCTCTTTTACCTCAGCCTGTACTTTTCCTTCATGACCTTTATTACAGTTTGGTGTATACATATGCATAGCTCCCACTGGGTCCCGAATTGCTAAGGGTACAGATTAGGTCTGTTTTGTTTTCAGTTATTTGGCCTGCACCTTGCACATTGAGTTCCACACAGGAAATGCTCAGTCATCATCTTTGAATGACCCCTAGCTCTTTGCCATTAAATATAATAGGGGAGGTCCCATGGGAATGGCAGCCCAAAGCACTGATGCCACAATAGAAGACATCCATAGTGTGGCCCCAGAATATGCCATGTGATGTGAGGTTGGGGACACAGTGGCAACTCTTTTTTGCCAGGTGTGAGGAGCTTTGGGAAAGGGATCCCGCAAGACTTCCCAGAGGAGGTGAAGCTCAAGGTGAGAATGTGAGATCAGAAAGCAGGTCAGGGGAAGGCCATCCCTCCTTCCCTCTCTCTTGCCCTTCTGCCTGCTCCTGTGACAGACCCTATAACATGTCAGCTTCTTCTAGTTTTGCCCCAGAGTTAATCCAGGACAAGGTCTACAGGAGTTATGCTGAGGGAGAAGAAAAAGAGAAACCACTAGAAATTGCTACCCTGTGTCTCCTGTCTATTCATTTCCTGCCCTGTACCCATTCCCTGGGCTTCACGCCAGTTCCTGCAGAGAAATGACCCAGAAATGATGGGTGAAGGGAAAGACATTGAAAGGGTTGGTGGGTAATGGGGAACCTTTGTGCCCCAGCTTTAGTTTTCCTTATTAAAAGCAGTAAACATCTTTGGCAGAACCTGGAAAGCACTCTGCTGCCTGTGATGCTGCAGGTGAAAGGGCAGGAGGCCTTGGCAAAGAAGGGTTAAAAGAAGACAGACAAGTCCCAGTAGGCCAGAATAGGCCCAATGGCTCAGACTTAGACAGATGTCCCCCTCATGTTCCCTCCCAGGAGGGGAAGTAAAACCCTTGATTTCCTGACCTAACACAGGAGGAACTTCCAAATACATTTTCCTATAGAAACTGAGCTACACAAAACGGTTGCGGTCTATAGGGTATCATGCTATGAATCAACTGTGGGTCAAGCAGGCCATAACCACCATATATGAAATTGTTACTAAAGAAAAATGTCTTAACTTTCAAGCAATAGATTTACAAATACAGTTATTGAATATATTTACTAGGTTTCAAGCACTGTGCTAATCACTGTACATGTGTTATTGCATTTGATCCTTCTTATAATACTATAAGGGAGATAGGCCCATTTTACAGATATGTAAACTGAGGTTTAGAGGTTAAGTAACTTTCTCAAGGTCACAGTAGGTGGTAGCTCTGGGACTCAAACCTAAGTCTGATTCCATTCTTTAAACCATCATGATGCACTTTCAAGCATAACTGTTTCTGAAATTCGGGACTGTATTGACCTAGATCTCTAAAAGCCTCTTTCTAGCTCATTTTTTATCAGCTCTGTTTTCCATCGCTATATATTTGTTTATCCTTTTTGAAAGCATTTTTTTTATTTGAGCATTTCTCTAATTTCTTGAGTTGGAATAGAAGTATATTCACATTATTTTACAAATAGGTACTTGGTAAATATTCACTGCTACTATAAATATTAACTATTTCTATGACCATGAGGAAAAGATTCACAAATTAGATTCGTTTTTGTGTTTTGAACTTTGTAACTCATTTCTAATTACAATTTTATTTATTTTTTACTGAAGGAAGAAGATTTCTCTCTCCAAGTCGGCTATAGTCTGCCTCTGGCTGCGACACCTTCCCAGCCTTGAAAAAGCAATGCTTCATCTTTTTGAAAAGCTAACCTCCAGTGAGAGAAATTTTCTGAGAAGGATCGAATGCTTTATAAAAGATTCATTGCTGGTATGTGCTAAACTCTGATGAGAAAAATTCTTAAAGAAGATGATGGGTATCATTTCATTTAATCAGAGTAAGGGAAAAAATGTGAACAAAAGAGCAACTGACATCCTTTAAAATAACGATGTGTTTACCTTTTATTTTAAAAGTATCCACTGTGGGGGTTATTTCTGCATGCTTAGAGCATATATTGAAAATAGGGAGAGATTCAAAATTTACTTGATTGTTGCACCTTATATTGCATAGTCACAAGAACTAACATTTGACAACAAACTTTTTTAAAACAATAATTTCTTATTTTCACACGACAAATAAGTTTTTAAAAAATGAGGATGTTATTAATGAGAGGAGGAATCAATCAACAAAGAAAAACATTCAAGAATAAACTTTCACTAGAGGAAAAATAAAATAAGAGAAACTAAAACCCCAGAAATATGGTTAAAACAACAAAAACAACTTAAGAATTCTGTAAGTTTTCTTTTGGTGTAAGCCTGCCCACTTTGAACTCTAGCTCTGTGCAGTAGCTGCTTGTCTGCCTTGTTCTCAGAACTTCTCAGACCTGGGAAGTTGGGCTCAGGGGGCCGGGCTCCCAGGCAGTCCTCAGAACCTGACCAGTCTGAGCATTTTCCCTCTGTGGGAGGCAGCTCTGGAATTTATGTGCATTTTTGTAAGAACAGGGATAAATACCAACACTCCCTGAAGAAACAATTCTAAAACTACAAGGACATGCGATGCTCCCACTGAGGAACCTCAGTGGCTCTAACATGCTTTCTCATTGGCTTTCGTAACCTCGGGGAGATGTGGCACAGAAAATTACTTCCTGTTGTACAGATGGAGAAAATTAGTTCAGGGAGAGATGGAGAACAGTCAGATATTAAGCTGGTGGCCAGGAGATTGGGCAGGAGAAAGTGTTCACCCTCCCCACAAAGCTGAGACTTGGTAGGCCTGAAGCCCTGTGCCCAGAGTGCTCTGAGGTTGGCTGAGTTTACTCAACCCCCACCTCCCAGACACCTTCTATTTGTTTGATTTAGTTGGAACTTCCTGTTTTCTTTCTCTTTCAAATTGGAGATCATGTAAGGGAATCATAATTGAATCAGCTACCTTCTTCCTATATTCCTGAATTACTCATTTTATATCCTGATCATTTCCCACCATTGTATGTGTATGATTGTCCATGGCCATGCTTGCCTCCTCCCTTATTTCCTGAGCCCCTCTTTGCCTTCATGTTATGGGTCCTCTCGGGTGACTGTGGCTTGGGTCGTGGTCACCAGTAGCTTTCACTTGTAAGTTTTGGGGCTCAGATCGAACCCAACTGGTTTGGAAATTTACAGTGTTTGATAGGAAAAAAAGAGGAAGGAAGATAGATATAAAGACTGAGGGAGCCTAAGGAGAGTTTTTTATAGGAACATTACTGTTGACCTCATCATTGAAAAGAGTTGCATAGTAAGGTGAGAAAAGAGATGTGCCTTATATAAAAATAATAACAACAAAATTCAAAATAAACAAAGCTTTTCGAAGCTTGCTGGCATCTCATTGCAAGCATTACTTTCATTATCAGGGAGATCTCTGTATTTCTAACTTAAATGAACATGCTATAATTTAATTTTCTTTGGTCCTTTTTTAGTGGCAAAATATAGTAACTGAACTATTTCCTTGCTTTCAAGGCCTTTACTAAATTTTCTTTAAGTCTTCTCTCTATAGAGAAATTCCAGTTCCATTGACTTTTCTAATGTGGTTTGATTCTGTGACCTTTCATTGGTTCTTGTGGTTCTTCTTTGGACCTTCTCCATGTCCTCTTTACCTGTGGCCATCAGGCCTAAGCAACACTCTGTAAGCATAGGATATCACTGCAAATGAAGGAGAGAGAAAGCAGGCACTCCCATTAAACATTGCATTGTATAACCATCAGCTGCCAGTTTACAGTTTAAAATAATCTTCCCCAGTTGAACAGCTTCAAAGTCAGTTGATGAATAAAAGCATTTATCAAGATCACGTGTGTAAAGATTCAGAGATTCCATTATGGTTAAAGGGGGATTCCAGAGGGTATTATTTGGTTTAATTTATTGTGGCATTGGCAGGATGTGACCTCTCTGTGCCTTATGGTTCAAGGAGGTAATTACAGTACAGAGTGGAAGTTCCTGATTGGCGTGGGCTGCTCTCCTCAGGCATCCTGGGCCAGCAGTGCCAGAAAGCAGGATAGAATAAGTCTGTGACATGACCGAGTGATTAGAAGGGTAACCTGAAGAACTTGCTTCCTAATTGCATCATCTGATTCATTTATCACAGCACAGTATCTTGGTGTAGTGACAGGACCTTGCAGAAGTATCAGAGAGATCTCAAAGACTCAGATAGCATGGGACTGCTGTGCTTTTCCTCCAGAAGAAACTTGATGCCTATTACATTAGAGTTGGATTCTGAGAGTAATTAAAGTGTGATGGTCTACGTAACTTGTATTTTATATGGAGCACTGTTAATTATGTTTCCATCTCTTGGGACTATCCAGAATTAGCTCTGGAAATTCTATAGTTACCAATATGTTGCAAAAACAAAAGATAAAAGTGTGGTACAGGTTATACACAGTGAAATGATTTCTCCAAATATTCTGTGGGTTCTCAGGGACTCAGAGGCTTGGAATTTTCCATTAAGACTAAATAATAAGGCACTAACCCACCTGAATTCTAAATGTATACACACACACACACACACACACACACACGACTTATAAAAATAAGTTTGCTTTTAAATCTCACCCTTAGGCTTCTGTTGGTTGGAATGCCCCCAAGTACATGGTCACCTGCTGCATTTGGTGGCTCCTAAATAGTATTAACGTATAGTATCACAGTATTAACGTCAGTTTGTCATTTACTGTGAAGACTGATACTTTTCAAAAGCAGATAGTCTTGTGTTTCCCGAGATGGAACAGGCACTAGAAGGCCATAATCCATAGCTTCAGACCTGACCTTAAAACCCGATGTCCCCAAAAGCATTGAAAGCTACTTGCTAATTATGCAGCTTTCTTGACTGTTCGGTTTCCCAAGGCTGGCCCCAAATCAGAAGGACGTTATGTTTTCCAGTTACAGTTCTGTTTGTGGAGCCCAGAAAGCTATTGTTTGTATTTCACATTTGAATGAAAAGTGCTGGCTGAGTGGCAGGGTGGCACTGTGCTTGGCTACTCTGCTGAACACCAAGGCTGAGATGAGCCTGATTCCCATGCCCTCCCAGTCGCTCTTTGTTGGCAGATCCCGCATGCCGCCTGCCCCTCAGGCTGGGTCCAGAGTCGCAGCTCCTTCACCTTCTCAGATAGACTTGCGCATGAGAGAGCAGGTAGCAGAGAAGGGTAGAGGGGAAAGGCAAGCAGGGTTGGTTTTGTTTATTCACATTTTAAAAAATACTCGATATTTTCTCCTACCTGAAAGTCTTCATTGCTCAATTCAAATTCGTTCTTGTCAAGTATGCTTCAATAAAACTGGGGGAAAATTAGTTCTTGATCTGATAAGAGATTAAGAATAAAAAAGCATGCAGGTACCCCCCCGCACCGTGTCCTCCTTGATCTCTTGATGCATTCTTGTCTTCATTCTCCAGAGAGCAGTCATAGCCACTTCAAAAAGAAAAAGAAACTTCCTTCACACAAAATTCCAAATATAGTTCCCCTTTAATAAAAGATTATACCGAAGAATTAACTCCATCCACATCCTGGGTGATGTCAGTTTTCTGTGCTTGAATAATTTCTTACTAATGTTCTAGGGTTTTCTTTTCTTGCTTTTTCATTAGCAATCTCTTAAGCATGTCTTTTTTCGAGTTCTTTAATGTGATGCATGTAATTTAACAAAAGCTGAAGTAGGTAATTTAGCAATGGTCTAATGAGGGAAGTGCGCTAGTGGCTTATGCTTGTGGCTCAAAGATAAAGAATCTGCATCTCAGACAGTAGTTGCACTTCCCGGCGTCGACCTCAGGGGGGCACCAGATCACCCAGCATTGTCTCTGAAGATAGAGGCCCAAATTCCAAGTTCTGTTTTCACTGTTGGAGATGGAGGATTTTGCAACCAGTCAGAGATGAAGGGAGAGAGAAAAAATTAAATAAATAATAAAAACAGGACAGTGGTCGACCTGGGAGGTCACTGCCACTCAGAGGCTGAGCTGAGAAGCAGCAGGGGGCTGAGAAGCTGTCTTCCTGCTCAGGCTGCACAAGCTGACTGAATAGGAGGCGCTGGGCCAGGCTAGAAAGAGGAACTTCAGATTTGGGGGATTTTGTTCAGCTTCTAGAACCAGTATCCTTGTGTCTTAATACTCTGAGAGAGTGTGGGTAAATTTAAAACACAAAAGTACATTTGGTACTTGTTTAGTTTTTTTAAAGCCCAGAAATGACAGATTTATCACTAATTAAACAATAATTACATTAGGGAGTACTGAAAAAGTTGCTTGTAGTATAAACAACATCTGGTAAAGATTAAAAAGAAAGAATATTTTTCCATCTCAAATTTGTTGAAAGAAACTTGAATGTTTTGAAACAAAATAGATCCTAACATATAAAAGAGATATTTATAGTTTTACATTTAGTATTTTGAAAGTAGAAGAAAATGGCAAATAAAAAATACATATTTACTTATTTTATATGATAGATGTGAAGATTTTATTTAAGTAGTATTTTTTAAATAAATTGTTTTTGAACTCAATAAAGGGGTTTTACTGTTGAAATGAATCTTATGAAGAATCCTTTTTTTAAGAATAAAGTTATTTTTTAATGAATATAGTCACTCTTTATATACATATATTAACGTAAAGACTCCTACCTTTCAAGGATTTGAAGGAGTTTCTTACACAGTGGGACAGGATTGCTAACTGGAGGGAAAGCTCATCAGCCATTTCTTTAAAAAAAAAAA